CTCTCTCATTGAATTAGCAGCTTGAAAGCTCAAAGCTCATTTGCAGCGTAACTTTAGTAAACAAGGAGGAACCCTATATTATCAATTTTGTCTATTGATTCAACTAATTTCACCCTGATTCTATTTACTTCTCGTTGTTGTTGTTCTTTGAAAGTGCTTGAAATCCTCTTAATGACGAGGCAAGGTATAAGAAAATAAGGAGACAGTGATGACAGGAATCTGTTGAGGGTTCTATGAGAGCCACAGGGAGGAGCGTAATGCAGGCTGGAGATGCTGCCGGCAAAGGTGGGGAAGGAGTTATGGGACAGGTGGGAAAGCACTGTGATAATAATAACAACAGCAGCAGCAGCAATTATTAATAACAGTAATAAAGAATAACTATGCCTTGAAGAATAAATAATAACTGTACAACAATTGTGGGGTCCTCCCTATGTACCTGTGCTTTGCAAACATTATTTCTCTTCATAGCAGCTCCAAGAAGTCGATATTAATGTCTCCATTTTATGGCTGAGAATATTGATGCTTAGAGAGTTTAGCAATTTGCCCAAGATGCTACCTCAAACCCAGGCTGTCTCGCTTCAAGCACGGCACCACTGATACACTGAATGTCACTTGACAAGATAGTAGGCTTGATAGGGTGTTGCTGCTCAGAGTAGCTCCAAGGAGGTTCAAAGCAAAGAGTGCATGTGGTGATGTAGCCAAAAGTGAAGCTACGGAGATCAGTCAGGACAAGGTCAGGAAGGATGTTTCTTTAGGTGACAGAACTATTTCGAGGGTTGTAGTAAGGGAAGATGGGAACAAGGGAAGGGAGGCTTCTAGCTCTGACCCTTCTGAAATAAAGTGGCATTGTCTGAGTTTATGGGCAAAGAAACATTGACAGCTCACGAGCCATAGCTCGCTGAACACCACAGATCACCGTGACTCCTGGGTACACAAGAACATTTCAGTAGCATTTACTTCCAGTAGAAAGTAATTTTGCCTAAGACAGATTTACTTTGAACCCCATGCGGGTGAGTTCCATTACTGAAGAACATTGTTCTAGGAGCCCCCATCCTAAACAGCACTTAGCCTATTCCAGAGGCAATATTAGAGAAAGATGCTAGTGCTGTTAACCACTACCCCCCAGTAAAGCCTTTCCTGTGGACTCAAAATTATTATAGTAATGGCGACAATAAGATGGTGATGGTGGCCATGGTGGTAACAGCTGCTGCGAGTCACTGAGCATGTCTATGCTTAAAACCCTACGCCAATATTCATTACTTCACTGAGTCCTCACAACCACCCCAGGAGGAAGGGACTATTATGCCTATTATAGAAGAAGACTCTAAGGTTCAGGGTTAATAACTTGCCCAAGGCCACACAGCTAATCAAGTGGTAGAGCTGGGTTTTGAATCCAGGACTCACTGACTCTGGAGACAGCGTGACAGGCAGCTATGAGGAAGTAATTAGATATTGCAATTGTCTTATGTTTCTGACAACTGCTTTTCTG